AGATAAGAAGGTAGTACCTATGATGAAAATTATGCTGTCTCACAACTATCGCAAGATGCGATGCTAAGGTAAACGAAAGAAGGCTGACAATATTTAAGACATTTAAGACAATATGCGTCAGTAGGTCAACTTCATTAAAAATCTCATGCTATCTCAATAAAGGCACTCATGTATTTTGGTTCATAAAAATAAAAGATAGCACTCGACGTTGATCTTTCCCTGATGTTGCTTTCACCATGCATTCGACTTCTTTAAGCATGGCTGAAGGTGATTGAATGCATGGCCTACCGATGTGTCGAGTCAGTGTTGCTACCCTCCCAGACAAGTGTGGAGTCAATTTCCGATCCCGTAGGGAAACAGGGCTTCGTGGGCATGGGGTGCAGGGATTGATCCCATGTGTATTGCCTCCGACCACTGCGCTACACGGACCCGTTTCAGCTCAAATTAAAATTTGACACAAAAATTAAAAATCATTTGAGTTTTCACACTTTCTAGTTGGTATAGAAGTTCATCGCTTCTTTCGCCTAAAATTCTAGCTTTACACTCGAGCACTTTCCTTTTAAGTTAAGGATTTTTGATTAAAAGTGTTTGTGAAAATTACTGAAGAATGCTATTCTTTTCGAAAGAGATGTGATGAATACGTTTGACGAAAGGTTAGTCTCGTGGTCTAGATTCCTCTAAAACTTTGCAAAGACTCAGTTCTTGCAGTTTCTGGGGTATGTACCGCATCCAATTTCATTCCGGTCTCTCTTCCGCCCAGTTTTCGCTCACTTCTACACATACACAACCAACATCTTAAGTAACAAAACCTCCGGTTTTGTTCAGTCCCTGGGAAATGAGCCATACATTCGACAACATGAAGTATCGTTGGAAGTGACTGAATGCACATCCGGCCTATACAGGGAGTCGCAGTGACTTAACGATGTACCCAGAAAATGCTGTTGTCCTCGCAGGCAAGTCTGGTACCAATTTTCCGATTTCGGCGCCATGGGAGGCCTAGTGAGCCTGTGGCGCGAGCCGAGCCCTTGTGTGTCAGAAGGCGCCTTTAACCACTACGCTGTGCGGACGAAATAAGAGCCAACTCATCATAAAAATTCGAAGTTAGCCATTAGGCAGAGCGATCAAGTAGGAGAAATATCTTTATTGGTCTAGGCTCTTATTATGCATTGAAGCCTTACTTCTTATCTGAAAGCTTGTCGAGTAGGTTTATAAATAAGCAATCATGAACGAGCTGCACGTCTCCTTAATTGAAGTGTACATTTTCACCATGTTCAACCCCACTTAATAGACTTACTAGAATTAATATGCCGCCTTAAAAATACAAGGAAACTATATTTTTGCACTTCGGAGCATTATAGTAAATTTCTCTGTCAAATAGAGAATTCTCCATCTACTCAGCAAATATTCTCTATAATTCTGTACATTCAATAAAGGAACTCTTTCTGGAGACACGACAGAGGACGTGACCTGGCTGCACTGTAGGTATATCGCCTTATTACCCAATAGCAAAACCAGGAAAACTCCAATGGCATAACCAGAATTGGCTAAGCCTTCTTCGCCCATTCCATTATGGCCCACAATGGTATAACTAGGAACCAACCTAAAGGTGTAACCAGTGTGGCCTATGACGCCTCCGTCCCTTCTTAGCAATGCCTAGGTCGTCTCTGCCCCTTCTTTAGCATTGCACGTTCCGTCGGCACTACATTCCTGTTTCTGCCCATAATTCAATTATTATACTCTCCACATGCATACACCATATCATTTTTCTCACGAATAACATCTATGTCGAGTTTCGTAAAGCATCCGCTCACTTATACTCTAATCAGTGCACATATTTTTTTGCTTACTTGCTTAATTAATTTAACTGTAATCGTTTTCCATTCAAGTAAGTAGCTGTTAAAACAATCTCTCTGCCAATATACATAATACCTGTCCGATAACACTTCTCAATTCATCAATCTATCTTACAAGCTCCTATATCACGTTAGTGTTAAGCGACCTAGCAGTTATACGCAACATTGAATAAGTCGTTGTCACTCTACACAAGGCCTGAACTTCTTATGCAAGTCCTTATAATATTATTAGTGCAACTTTATATTGTCTCCTTTCTCCATGGAAAGAGTTGCTGTGTCATCTTGATTGAGTAGTAATTGCATTGTATTCATCTTCCCTACTCAGTAATCATGTATCCTATTACATAACTTCTATTCCCTTAATTAAATGGCAAGTATACTATATAGCCTGTTCGCTCATGACACCATGCACTCAGTAAACAAGTATCATGTTGTAGCTGTAATTGTTTGTGGCCTCACATAGTTGCGCAATATTAATCTTGGCACACATTAATGCCGATGTATTAAAGTTTATATATACGTATACAAAGGTTTAACTACCTATGTTTGAGGTTCTGCTGCACGCACGACTATGCGAGTAAATGTTTCGCGTGGCAAACCAAGGAAGTCGAGCATTCCACCCACAGATAGCGGACAGAGAACAAACCCAATCAGGTTTTATTCTATATTCCACTGCCCAACCGATACAAGTATTTCGTACCAGAATTTCTTACGGCATAGCCGACGATTGCTCTCCCGAACGACTGCACTAGCAGTACTAGGCAAGATCTCCGATCTGGAATGGTGTTAAAATAGCTCAACAGAGCAATTGAATGTCTTGTTTATTTAAAATTTATTATTTTACAGCAAAGCTTACTAGCTTAAAGCAAAACGAAACACTTGGTCATACCCATAAGATGACTTCACAAGACAGAGATTTTTTTGGGATAATACTAATTTGGAAGATAAAAAATACAGCAATACCAGGTCATATACAACTATTTCATATCTAGTCATGAACGTCAATACATACACAAACTATAAGCAACGTGAATGAACATCAGGAGGAAAGGGAAACATCAACACATTAGGGTTCAAATAGACAATGAAACACAAAAAGAAAAAAAAATCATAGTAAAGTGCTCGGCTAGAGAAATCTCTATTTTTCCTGACTAACCCAAAATTTTATCTTTTGACTGAATGTAAATAAAACTTTTAAATAGCCGAAATTATCAGATTTAAAAAAGAAACACGGCAAGGAGAGAACAGCGAATGACAACAGTGCCATTACATTGTGCAAGCAATAATAGTGCTCGATGAGCAGATACATCTGCTTTCCCACGAACTGCATGAATCGTATACGATGCACATGGTCCGAGGAGAGCGCCCAAATATCCAATGATATTCCCGCTTTTTGGACTTCTTGCTCCATAATTTGGATTTACTCTACATATTCTTTATTATTTTTCATGCTTCCCTATATTCTACACGTTCTCCTGCGTTTCGCGCACTATATTGGAACATTTGCGTCTGTGATGAACAAGTGTGATGAAAATTATTCAGCTAAGACGTGGAGCTATCAGCCCGTATAGATTACAATAGTTAATAATGACAGCTGGAAATGGAGGAACAATCGATAGGTTCGAAGATTTCGAATGTCCGAGTGAATGATTGGAGATCTTTTAAGTATAATTCTAATTGGAGTAAAATTCACCGACATATTTCAATCAAGAGCAGATCAGCTCCCTCACTAAACACCATGCAAGGAGAATCTATTGTCTTGTGTGATTGTTGTGATTCTTTCACTTTTCCATCACCACGCTTTACGAAATATGGTGATATAAAAGTCAATTTGTGCCATAGTCAATCTGTGCAATAGGGGTCGATAATGCATGATTAAAGTGATCATCAGTAGGGACACAATCAAAAGTGGCAGTTTGACCGAAGCACTACATCAACGATGTGTTAGAGGAAATACGGCACATCTGCGTCAGAGAGGATTCACGTAATTGGCACATGCAGGAAGAACAGAAAGCGATTCTTGAAATAGATCATTTCTCAGGAACGAAAACTGCAACTCAGCATAATCGGAGCGATGTAATGGTAAGAAAAGATGAACGACGTTACTATAATGTTAACGATCTGCTCGACTGGACTCTTTCGTTAACATTAGGATTCCCATTTATCGGAATTTATAGATAAACTGTTTGTGAACATAAGGGACAAGATGCCGTCGTATCATCTGGTACGTCAGGAAACCTACTCAGTAGTACGTGGATTTCTGCCTATCCATAGTTATAAAAAGCGAATCTTCCCCAGATAGTTTATGGATGACAGATTTTCATTCATTCAACTGCTTGTTTGGTTAAGCCATGCAGATTTATTGTGAAAATTCTCAGGACTCCACTATGAATGAGATCAAAAGACTCAGCTTTTTATTCAAAAGAGTAGTGTTATAACCACTCGCTCAGCCATCCATGATCTGACAGCTACAAACGGTCCAGTGTCAGAAAATTAGAGACATTCTACTGATCCTTATAAGAAATGAGCAAAATATCATAACTTTAAGTCTGCCGCAAAACCCCTCGCGGAGATAAGCATGAGATGTAGACAGTTTCAGAAATATTTCTGCTTGAGTTGTTTAAATAACGGCTACGGTAATATAAATAGAAGGAAATCTCTAAAGATACGATGAGTTAAAAAAGATCGATTGATGGAAGCCCCTAGTATTTTGATAGCCAACAATTCTTTTGAAAAGGCTTTACGTTTATTGCCGCAGTTGTAGCTCCACATACTCTTCTCAATGGTTCATCTCCTCACAGTTAGTGGGAAGGCAGATTGTAGGACTTTCATTTACAATTATATTAGAGACCCTTGGCACTCTCCCCCTCAGCTACAAAGATATTTCTCTTATTCCACTGTCATAAAAACGACGAAATAAATAATCGAGAAAGATATGCATCGTACGTGACTCAGGGTATCCTCGCAGATTTGTCAGGATGTATACAGTTTTATGACAGATATAAGCCTCAGACCTACAAAAGTAAAGAAATAACTAGATATTATACCAATTCCTAGCGATACCATAAATTTTCATCAGGACCACACATTCAGTACGGTGAATAGGTAGGGTGCGTAAGAAACAATGGTCAAGCAAGAAATCCATGACTAAAGTCGTGGAGGTGGTGGCAAAGCCCACAACACGGCACTTCGGTCGGCGCTCGTCGACAAGAACGAGAAGTCGAATGGATGCCATCTATATCACGACTAATTAACAATAAGTCGAAAGAACTAAAATCAATCTATCGAAGTAGACTGTCTCGTGACCACGTATGATACTGCTTTAACAGATCTTTTCGTTGTGTTCAACTTTAAAAAACTCTTCTAAGAAACAAAACGTGATGCAGCTGACCTAAAAGTCGATATCGTAAAGCTGTTGACTGTCATCTCTTTTTTGTTAATCCTTTTGTTGCCATACCACCGTTTACTTCGCTTATGATACACTTACAGAACCCCTGTTTCATAGAGGAAACGGTTTTTACAATATGAATCATTGCACATATACTACTGAGAAACATATAGAAGCAGACAGATCAGCAACGTCTCCATCATGGTAGAAAGGTATTCCTTTTGTCTTTCACTTATATCTCATTAGTTCGAAATGTCTGGAAGAAGTGTGAGAGCGGACGGATACAAAAGATAGTAGGTTGATTTCTTTGTTAAGAAAGGAAAAAGAGATGGCAGATTAAAAGTAATGACTCGCCTGCACTGGATGACTTTATCAGAGTGTTCGGCTATCGGCAAATAAATCAGCGGTGCCATCAGATCACCCCTCATGTCGGTGAACACGACTCTGAAGTGAAACACCTTACTTCAGTGTCCTAGCGAGAATATCATAAAAGTAGCTATTGACGAAGTACTACAATCACTAGGGACCAATTTAGATACGCTCCATCTTCAAAAAAACCCAGAAGGCTTAGAATTGCTAGTAAGCGGTAGTATCTTGTTTTTTTTTATTAAAACACAACTACCTCTTGTCATAGCTGGCAGATAGAAGGTAATAAGCAGCGTTACTGAATCGTACCGTCCTAACCTCATCACCATGAGGCCTTAACCAGAACACATTTTCTAGTAAAACAGAGACACTTCACAAGCAATGGAGAAAAACTACGGTGCCCCTTGTTTAACACACTGGCAACAAAGCGGTCCAGTTAAAATGCACAAAAGTGCAAGAAAAAAAATAAAACAGGTAGAACAGATAACAGCGCCGGAAAGCATAAGCCTACACTAACCAGTGATTTCTCCCTGGCCAATGTGACAGTGATTCACTCCTTCTACAACAAATCTTTTCTGCAAGTTATTTCATGGGCATACCTGTACGTTTGTAAGATCCGTGCTCCAGCGATGTCATATAGCGTCACAGAAGCATCCTCATGCCCAGAGACTAATAACTGCCCAGACGGATCCACACACACCGATGTCACAGGCGCACCTGAGGTGTTAAGAATTGCTAAAATGCACCACGAAAAACCTAGTTTTTTATCCAAGTTAATTGCTTAATATTAATATTACAGTTCTAGACCCTTCAAAGAATCAGTGCCCCTTGGCATCTGAGAGTGCTCATCGGTGTCGGACTGCGGTGCACAGCAGGATGGATGTTCATACCATTAGTAGCATCATTCATAGTGATGCTGAATTAGACGTCTTCACCATGAAGCTCAGCTAAGGCTGGATTACTCCCTCTAATCAAAGATAAAAATCTTTCGAGGCCAACAGCAAAGGAGTCAAATAGGAAAAGTGCCACGTATGGTTGTTCGTTCCTTCATGTGGTTATCAGATATGTTTGCTGAACGCACTGAGAGAGAACCTATTGTGAAATTGGCGATGAATTCATTCAAAATACAAATTTTTTGAGTTTCCTTCCAGATGTGATCGGTAAACGCAAGAAGAGATGATACCAGCACAGTAATAAAAACACTGAGACACTACGTTAGCTGACACAGGAAATTAACAAGTTGTCAATGCTCTAAATCTGTTAGCCGTTAGGAAGTTCAGCAAAGAATGGATCTAGTGCATGAAACATTTCTGCTTAACCAAGGACTACGGATTTTAACGATGGTAAAATCGTATGTGAAAAGTGTAAATTGTAACCACAAGCACCTCTAGCCACAGCGCTTCACGCGCCCAACCTTCGCGACTGATAGGCTGAATAATGTGTCGGTAACTTCAAATAAGGTGGAAAAAAATCTTGTTTTGAAAAAAAATCGCTATGGTAGTTACTGTGAGATTTGTTGTTTGGCTGAATCACATTGATAGCTTGCGGCAATCGTACATCCCAGAAACGAATCGTCTTGTCCTGAGAGCAGGATGTGAACAGCGGACCGGTATTCCAGGTAAAGAGGCCAAGGATCGGAGCTAAAGTAACTGCACAAGTATTATAACACATTATGAGAGGGTCAAAAAATGAATATTTGGCACAATAAGGAAAAGAAGAACATGAAAGACTACCACTATGACCCCGCGCCGACTGCAGTAGTTGTCCTGTGTGACAATCAGTGATGTTCAGATGACAGTTGCCAGCGCCGCCACTGACCAGCAACGCTGTCCTGAAAACAAGTCGTTGTTAGGTGCACGCAGGATTTCAGGACTACGTAGTGCTTCCTTTCAACTCAGAGAAAAGCTCAGGAATCATGAAAAGACACCTGTTCACGCTATCCTCTAAGAATACCACGTCTCTGATTGTCCCATCGTGGTAGCCGAATTCCATCTCAGCTCCTAGAGTCAGGTGGCGTTAACCACTCGAGTAAGTGAAAGGCCGTCGAAAACTGATAAAGTCTACAGGAAGTCTGTACAACAAAACGAAGAAACCTACAGTATTACATTTCTCAAATGTTCAACTTTTCACAACACTTGGTTAGCCGAAAAATTTCTGAATTTCTATGCAACCACTGAACGCTAACAAGTATAAACTGCAGTGACTTCGAGAATGACTATCAGGTTAGGTGTAGATTCTACATACTTCAGGAAATCAGGAGTGCAGTACACTGAAACCAATCATCATTTCTTGATTGCTATTTTACTCAAAAAATGAAAATCATGCCACTTCAGGGATATGAATCTTCTCAGCTGTTAAGTGCATTCATTGAACTTGCATAGCAAGCTAGGCGAGCTATCGGTTAGTCAGAGTCCATATTGCTTTGAAGATGCGCATAATTTAGAACGGACGTTCATATCCATAGATTTTTAAAAGATTTAAAATATACTTCAAAGAGAAACGCCCACCAATTTTGCAAGCATCCGAACTGAATGCCATCAATCGTAGAGTTTTATCGTTAGAGCCAGTTGCCAGTAATTCACCGGTAGTATTGAACGACAAGCAGTACACGGACCTTAAATAGCAGCTAATGCCTTATCATAAGTTTGACATCCACACAATATGCTGCAGAACAGCCATAGTTGAGAGGGTCCGTGTTTAGCAGTCGTTTCACCGAGAACGCGATCCTTGGCCCAGTGGACGACATGGATACTAATGGTGCTCATTTTCAGTCCAGCGGATACCAGACTTTTTACCCCTCTACGTTCATTCGATAGTAAATCGGAAGTTGTTAAAGATAGGAGGGTTGAGACCAGAAAAACCACTCTCTACACTTAATGACTTACAGAAAACTTTTTTCGGAAAAGTTTGGTAGGCGGTGATTTGACTACTGTGACTGTTATTTCGAATTAATTGCTAATTTATTGCATGGAATACACGGAGACAAAGATACCAAGAAATGCCACACATAAAAAAGGATAAAGCTCTCGGCTTGATCAATCCCTGAGGGATTCGCCACGCACTCGACTTCATTAGATATCGTTGGAGGTGACTGAATGCATATCTGGCCTATACAATGACTCGCGGTGGCCTACCGATGTATCGAGCTAGTGCTGTTATCCTTTCAGACAAGTCTAGTACCAATTTATTGACCCCGGAGAGATGGAGGGCTAGCTGAGCTTGGGGCGAGGAGATCGGTCCCATGTGTATTGGTGGGCGCCTCCAACCACTTGTTACACGCGCCCAATCTAAACATAATTCTAATTCTATAATTTTAAACATGATTCTCAATATTCCTGTTAAGCAAACACGAAGTGTTATTTGATTCTTTATTCTGCTAAAGCTGACGTTTCGGTAGCATCGCCTTCATCAGAGCCTGGAAGGGTAGAGTGATGCGCAATTTACTGTGCCAAACGCTTCAATAACACAAATAGAAGAATGAAAAACTTATTGGTAATCACATGATCAACACGTTCACGCAAGACAAATCGTTTTTTACGCGTCTTCTACTGAGGAAGAACAACTGATTAAAGTGTGGCCGATGAGGTTCACCATTCCACATTAAAAGTCCATGCGAAGGTACGTGGGTGACCACATGATCTCTGGGCATTCCGCCCTGCTATTCATCGTAGGCTTCTTTGCATTTATCCAAAAAGTCGCAAGAAGTTTGTGCGTTGGTGTTTTGGCATCCTGTGAGAGGATAGGGATTTTAATATTAAAATCGTCTCCGCTATGCTTTTGTATCCTATGCGTCCCTAGTGAGGTATCCTGTCCTGCCTTTCGTTTGCCATTTAGATGTTCCTTTACACAGGTACATAATGGTCTGCGCGTTTCGCCAATATGTTCTTCTCCACAAATATTACAAGAGATCAGGTACATTGTGCCTGAACTCATGCAATCACCGTACCTGCCGTGAGGGCAAATCACGAAGTTCTCTGTTTCACATAGACGGTCATATAGGCGCTTATGCACTGATGACGAAGAGTCTTCTGTGATATTCCAATTATCGTTACCGATTCCTTTAAACTTGCCGTTCTTAAGCATCGCTTTATAGCCACACTTACTTCATCGTTAATAAAGTGCAAGACTGATGGCTCAACAAGAATATTGAAAACTATTTGATCAATGCCGAGGTCATATTTTTATTTTTATTTTTCTGTATTGGAAATTACCACAAGACTCAAGATAATCTGCAAAATATTTCAAGTATCAACAGCAATATATTTACATAATGGACCGTAGTAACATACAGTAAACAGTAGCATACATACCAATGATACCCATAGAACCATAGAGGGAAGCCTCTTCTATAATACTGTTATATCAACAACCCGCCAAGTCCTACTATTGCTGAGAAATTATTTTCCATTATCAAAAAACCATGAAGACCATAGCAGACGATAAATTACTCGTCTTCCACTCTGCGCACTAAATGCCGTGCGTTTGTTATGGGTTAAACCTACCCTCGATGCTGTTTCGGACGCGAGAGAAGAATCTCTGGCTGTCGCACTGGATCCGAATGACTGTAAGAGATTTGCTTATAGTGTAATTCTTTTAATATGTCAGTAACCCATCGCTGCAAGAAGACCGTCAGACCTAAACCGTCGAAGATCAGGGTACTTGGATATGTGCAGTTGTTTTGAATTCGTCCCAATAGCGAAGTACCGGCCAGTTGGATGGAACGCCACGGCTCGGATGGCTTGACTATCCTCATACCTAAATTCGGCAAGAAATTTTCACAGACAGAGGTATACTGTTATCTAATGACCAGACATTATGTGAAATTTAAAAAAAGCGAGATCGAAAAGAAAGTTCTCTCTGTGGACATTTGACAGCTGAACCAACCGACGGTGAAGCCAGTGTTTTTTCATTGGAAACGAAACTGTTCCCATTGAACGTCTGGGATGTTCCTTGTTAATCTTTTAGACTAATTTTCCGATTCAATTATTCTACTTCAAAATTATATTTCCATAGTTGCATTAACTTTGCTTGGTTCAACATTGCTGACCATAATCATATGTAGTACACTGCTTAGCATATTTATAAAAACTGCATAGCGCCGGAGGACATGTAGCTCACAGAACGTCTTAAGCTGTTCACAATTTATTTAACGCCAAAGTTTTTGACTGCAAATCTAAAATATGCATTCTACGCACCTGCATACTGGAACGAACTGGACGGAAGTTCTGCTGGCACCGTCCGGTGGCATGGAAGCCGGTCTGGTTTGCATAGAAGCTGAGAAGGCAGATGGTGTGGATGTGGGGACAGTGGAATGAGGTCGTGGGGGAATGCTGTGCGTCATCGATGATGACGGCGAGACGGACGACGCAGTCGACAGCTAAACGCAAACGTGTCGTTCGGCTGCAGCAGCATCCTCTTAATCCGATTCCTTTCTTTTTTTTAATTTAAATTTCTCACGTTTAACAATTTCAGAAACAATCTCATTCCAGCAACTCCTCTATTAAGATCAGACGGTTACGTAATGGTCTATATTTCTGCTTTATAGGTGCTTTGTCAGCTCCATCGAAGTTTTTCCGCAAAGGGTCGATCTACTCATGGGAAATCACGGTCTTCAAACCATCTTTTTGACGTCTAATGATAACAGGATAAAGCTCTCAGCCTTGATCAATCTCTGAGGGATGCGCCATGCATTCGACTTCATTAAGCATCGTTTGGAGGTGATTGAATGCATATTTGGCTTTTACAATGACTTGCGGTTGCTACCGCTATATCGAACCAGTGCTGGTATCCTCCCAGACAAGTCTGGTACCAATTTTCCGACCCCGGAGGAATGGTGAAATTGGGGCGCGGGGATCGACTCCATGTGTATTGCAGGGCGCTTCCAACCACTGCGCCACAAGCGCCCTGTCCAATGATATTACTTCAAAATTAAAGAAGGCTGAAGCTAGAAAATGAAGGAAAAATGCCGCTAAAAATGCCGAAAAGTGGCAAAGTCGAACTATCGCAGTTCCTGCGATGTCACCCGCACACAGGCATGTGAGCCTATTCACTATTTCGTCGAAACAAATTTAAGTGATCAGAAATTCACTTAGAAGTCTCGATTACATGGAAAGGGTACGACATGGATATTTGTGGACAGCTGAATCTCGCACGAATATTTTGAAGGATAAGAAGAAAATCTTGGAAAATGAGATACTGCATGTATAAATGACATAGCTTTGAACGCTCCCGACTTGTCTAGAGCAAAAAAAAGGTTAGTTGCAAGAGTCAAAGCTGACCGGTGTCTGGCCATTTGTAGAGATGCTTGCATTGGAGCCGTAGGTGGCGAGAGGTGTGGCATTGACTGGTACAGACATTTCGCGCCGTCTCTGGGGCACAGCATCACCTACAGAGAACTTTTTCCAACTTCATTTATTTCGGTGTTGAAGAAGACATTGTTGAACACATACGAAATAAATAGCAAACTAGTTGAGTTTCAAGCAACGAAGGATCTATTAACACATTGGCAACGGTGATAGCCTCTGCATTAGAGGTGGACTCTCTTACGCCCCATTTCCTTCGTTGCTTGAAACAGGATCTCGATGTAAAAAAGAGAAAAAGTCGCGTCGTTAGACCTAAGTATATTCCACCAATAATTAGACTCACACATCCGCTGCTTGCTAGCAAACTCTTTGAATAGGTGGCTCTGCGTCATCAGATTCTCATCTAAACAAAATTCTTAGTCTCAGTGATATTCCATTGGGTTTTCAGCTTTCAGCTTCGGATTTCTGGTACACCTTCCACATCATAGAAACCATTGCATTTAAGTTGCGGTATACGTTATGCACTATATATATATATATATATATATATATATATATATATATATATATATATATATATATATATATATAT